CATATATATATATATATATATATATATATATATATGTTTTCGCGGCAAAGAGAGAGAGAGTGCGGGAATCACAGTGGTCTGCGGAGCCCCCTTTTGGGGTTCGTTTTTGGTGTTGCTTCTGACGATTGTCTTGCATGGGGTACCTTCTTTTCTTCTTCCCTTCTTCATTGCCGCAAGCTGTCTACGAGGGTGGCATGAAGCTGCAGAGGGAATTATATCAGTATGAAGCCAAACGTCCCTCACAACGACGCGCTGCTTCACGCAGCGCAACAACAGCAACAAGCTCAGACGCTAATGAGGTCCAGCTGCCTGTTGGCAGCAGACAAAATCTCGTGTCTTCTCTCCCTCTCTCACACACAGAAACAGGCCGTAGGAACAACACTTCGCGCCTCAGTGCAGGGTGACCTTAGCCTTGTCTGTGGTCTTCGTCTTTGCCCTGTTAAGCACCTGCGTACTGGCCTCCACCCGCTTCCGCATCAGGGCGTGCATGTACGTTCTACAGGCGTGAATGTGATAGGCAAGTGTGCTGCGGAAGTTCACGAGTTGCGTGACGGTCTCGACAAGGTGCTCATCAGGCTCCATTTGCCGCCGAAAGAGCTGAAAGCTGCACCAAAACACATTGGCATCCGTCAGCGACGGCAGGTCAAGGTTCTCCGGAAAAGAAACAGGAGGCTTGCCGTGGTCAAACACAAAGGCCGGGGCCGCGCTGATCTCCCGCTGCAGCTTCTTCGCATCCATCATCGACTGCAAAAAGTGCCTGGTGAAGACCGCCTCATCCTTGGAGGCGGGAGACAGGGCAATGGCGACAACAAAGTTCCCCCGACTGCTGAACAACACCATCTCCTCCCCCGTGTGGTAGTGCAGCACGACGGGCCTCAGTACAGCCTCTGGCCGCGACACGTACAGCCCGTACTGCCCGGCAAACACAGGGACGTAGCTCCATACCCGCAGCTGCGCCGCTGAGTGCAGCGCCGCCTGCCGCAGTGGTGCGGGCGTAGAAGCAGGAACGTGGACCTCCGCAACGAAGCCACCGTCGCTGCGGGTGTACGCGTCGCCCCTCACAAAAGTTCGCGCCGCCGATGGAAAAAGCGTCGGCAGGACGCCGTCAAAGTTGCGGTGAACATTCAACTCTTTAAACGGCGTGGCGTGCCGCAGCGCGATGGTGACAGCGGCATCCTGCGCCTCACGATGCGGCGTAGCGTCGTCGCCTGTCTTCTCCCCCGCGCCGCCCCCCGACTCCGTCCACTCGACCTGGATGTGGTACTCGCATGCATCAAAGTCACGCACGACGGTGTGGGGCGTTTTGTTCTCCCCTGACAAGATGCGATCGACGGCCGCCTGCACTGACGGGTGGACCCGCTCAAGCAAATACATGCACGCACACGCAAACACCTCCTTGCAGTGAAGCGACAGGAAGAAAAGGCAGGAGAAGCAACACCACACCTCATACACGTCGAAAAAAAAAAAAAACTCCTCCTCACTTTTCCCACCTCTCCCCGCTCATAAACGTACGGATGTCATCCCAAATAATAATAATAAAAAAACAACCGCATCAGCAAACAAACTCCCGCACCGCACAATCCTCACACACTAAAAAGTAAAAGACAGGCGCTGAACACTCGCGCAGCCGCCAGCACTCGGCCGACGGCTCCGCATACAATGGACTCCGTTCCGCCACAATGCTCCACACCGGACGAGCACCAGTATGCGTTAAACACTTGCCCCTACCCTTGCAGCTTTGCAGATGTGCATCCAGTGCGGCATAAAAGTGGCGAAGCAGTGCGCGTCCGCTAATGCCCGAAAAGGCAATAGTCCAATCCTGCAACAGCACCTCATTGTGGGGGCATGCGGCTCGATTCGTGCAAATAAAACTATCCTCTTCACCGGCATGACCCGTGCTCGCGTCATCGACGTTACTATCCTTCGCTTCCCACGGGCACAGCAAAAGCCCGTCAGTGCACCACGGGCATCGCAGCAGCGGCGGCCCCAGCTGGGCCGATGACGGAGGAACACACTCGTTGTCGCCGCGGTCTCGCTTAGCTCCCATTCCTGCGCGCATTGGGTATAAATCTCTACGTAACTATGGAAAGCGCCACCCCATCTCCCTCTCTATGAGAGAAGAAGATAAAGCGTCCTTCTGATTGGCCTCGTGCCCCGCCGCAAAAGGCAAGAAGGAGAATAACAGCACCAAGACCGGTTGAGCCTCTCGCCCACCGCAGAGATGTTGGCCGTTCTCGCCAACTCAACCCCACACACGCACATGGAGTAAAATACAAACAAAATTCACTCCTCGTCTCGCCCCTCCACGCGCACACACCTTTCGCAAGGATCTCCTGCCCGTGTACAAGCAGTGGGGTGCTTGAGCAAAGACGAAAAAAGGAAAATTAAAAAAATAAGCTACTTGAAAGCAGCAAATTTTTTTTTTACGTTTTATCCCCTCACATCATTGCGATCATCTTCGTTCATCATCCCATTTTCCATCGTTTCATCCGAATTCCCAATAAAAAAAAAAAGAGAGAAA